GGGGAATTCTGGGAGTTGAAGTCCAGACATCTTCAAGTGGCCAAGGTTGAGAAACACTGCTCTAAACAATGTCATTCTTGTTCTGCCCTATTGCCTAGACTGAGTTGCTCTGGGATACCAAATGGGACTTGCAGAGGTACATCAGTTTACTTCAAGTGGACTACTTCTGCAGTTCCAATTCACTCCTCACAATAGCTGGATCACGCATATTAGGACTTCTTGTGGATCTCTGTAGCCAACAAGTTACTTCGGTGAAGAAGGAATTTTAAAAGCCCAGATTGTCAAGTGGAAATCTGGGGTTTTAACACCCACACCATATAATTGTACTGCATACTTTTCCATAGTAATTTATATTTATCATGTGGGCACCAAGTAGTGCCTGTTTAGTGGAATATGCAGAGATGACCTTTAAAAAAAATCACCATTAAAGGACCATAAGGATAATAACCATACAACCAGATTAGAAGCTACAGTTAGTATGACTGCTTCCCTCATTCCTAGTCATTTATTGTCTTGGGCTATTCTTCTTCCTGGAGTTACCCAGAAAGTAAGCTAAAATAGTTTATATTCTCTCAGTCATTGAGCTGCCATTACATTCCTGTATGCAATAAAAAAGAGGTCTTTTTTAGCTAAGGCTTGTATAGAGCTCTCATTCGTCTTTGTTCTAATTCAAGTCAGCAGATTTTGCCTCTTCTTATTGATCTCTAGGCTGTTTTAATCTATATGTTTTAAATTAAGAATTAATTTTACCATCTACTGTATGTCAAGAAATCCCACTGAATTTCAGTGCATTTATAAGCATGCACATTATTAGTCTAATGGCCAAATAACATAAACATGTAACTACATGGTATCAGCATACAAAGACATCCATGCTTGGATCAGTTCTTGGTGAAAAGCCAGTTACTGACTCTTAAGAAGGAGGATAGTTTGGGGCAACCTTTTAAAATAGGTCAAGAACTCTAGGCAAGTGGAACTAAATCTGGGAAGAGAGATGGGTACCATGTGCGTGTCCACTCCAAATGTCTTCATGTGACTGGTTGCCTTGGAGATCTTCAGGTTCCTAGCATGAACATCTGAAAGGAAGTCTACATGCAGATGAGTGTGCTTAGCCTCTACTTTTAATTGAGGACCCTGATAAGAAATTATCTTGAAAATCCAGCTAATTATTCTAAGCCCTTTTCAGATCTCGACTATCTTATACCAAGAGTACAGGGACAAGAGCAGCTGTCCATGCCTCTTAAACTTCCTGCACTGCATATAAAACCATTTAACAGGTAATATACAGTATTTCCAAGCAAGCATGATCAAAGGCCATCCTGGCTAACAATGCAACTTGTTTGGTAGGCAACAGGTTAAAGCTGGTCTTAGGAATAGATGAAATGAAGAGATGTAAACAGAACAGTGTATGAAGCAATCTACGGTAGCAAAGGGGGCAGCAAGGCCATACTCTTTATTCATTAAGAGAGGCAGAAGCTTATTAAAACTTTGATCCAGCATAGATCATTTGCTGCTCTTAAGAGTACCTATTCTGCTCAGGAATGATTACTCATCACTGTAATATATGATCAGTGAAGATCACAAATACATAAGGAACAAAACCTCTAACAAAATTCAGTACTTCCCATCATACATGGTCCATTAAATATATTCCTCATTGTTTATTCATTCAATATGTAGGGTTATATACAGAAGAAAACATTAATGGCCCATTAATGTATACCCTCAAGTGCCCTCTTGCCTGGCTAATTGAAATGGAGCTTGGATTTCAGGAGTTTTACAAACAATAATCTTAGAACACTCTTTTATGATTTTCATGCATACTTTAGCATTGCATTCTCTCTACATTCAAAATGCTGAAAACTTATTTTTATTTCAGGTCTATGTGAGTAATGCAAGAACACTGATCTCAGAAGATGAAGCAACTTTATTCCTTAACAGATTTGCTTACTGTACAGTTCAGGGTGAATATGTGCAATATACCACTTGAAAAGTCAACTTCAAAATCATGGAAATTCTATGGAAATGTGCAAGTCTTTTATTTGTGTGAGCACATGGATTTTGGGGTGGATTTAGTGCTTTAGAGCACTTTTTTTTTTAACTCTACCACTTGTATGTTAAGAAAGTTCCGTGCAATTGAAGAAAACTTGGAGGGAACATTTAAATTATTTCTTAATGGTGTATTCTTATATCCTTCAGATAAAAGGGTCTGTCCATATTTATTTTTCTTCCGTCATTTTAACTACACATTGTCCCCCTTTGCTCCTAATAATTGGGAAGAATAAATGTTATTTTTCAGTATAGACGAAACAGGAAAATATGGCATGGAGAAAGAAAACTGAGGTCTCCCTTGAGTTGTCCCACCTATGCCTCATGTCATCTACAGCCTGAATCAGTTTGAAACTGAACAGATAGTAGTACAGCATCCGCAGTCCCCTCATTTTGCATTTAATTCCAAAGCAGAGAGCCAGAATGGATGTCTTCTGGAGGCTTTGGGGTATACTGTATAGTACAAGTCACAAGACTAATGCAGGTATTCCATCTTTCACTCTTTAACAGACATTTTACAGTAAGGAAAAGAAGATTACGGCAGTCACAGGAAAACACTATACAGTTACAAAGGGAAGTTAACGGTATCTGGAACCCCATAACATTCCATGATTGCACAATTGCACAATAGTAGCTGTCTGAATATACCAAATTAAAGCAAAATTACTCCAAACACTTATGTTTTTCCCAATTTTAATGACTGCATACCCTTGAAATTGATTTTTTTACTACCCTCCTTGTCTGTCTATGGTTATTGGGCATGTTTCATTAATTATACAGGTATTTATACATCACCAATACAGTCTACCATAAAAAACCTGCATCCCAAGGCATAACGCTGTTATAGCCCAGGTCTCACATGTATGCACTTCTACAAGTTTTGCATTTTCTCCTAAATCAGGGTTAATGACATCAGTTTACAAAGTCTTTCTCAAGGATGAAATTAAAGGGAAGAATCCTCTGGAATTATCTCACTTTTAATTACCCACAGCCAGCTACTTTATACAAACTTCAGAATGTCTCCTTTTTTCTTTAGCTTCTAGATCTAAATCAAGGGTAATATTAGATATGATAAACTTCTCTTTATTCCTTCCATTGCATTGAAAATGAACAGCAAGACATCTAGGGCAATTCTCCTAACTTTGTTTTCTAGCTCAGGAGCAGGTCTTTCCAGTGAATGCCTTCCAGAGAAGGACATTTTGTGCTTCTTTTATTTTATCAAACCTTTTAATTAATTATATTAACATTTAATGTCTAGGCTGCTCCTAAGTTTTTTTAAGCAATATATAATCTCTGTACATTTTTAATCCTGTTATTTATCATTTTAATTTAAAATGGCAATTTTGCCATCTGGTAAATTGTCCTGAGAAAACTCTGTTTTGAAGGGCAACATACAAGTAATTCACATAACAACAACGAGTATAATAAGAACCATGACACGAATGTTTCCAAGAAGAGATTTAATATAAATTGGCCGTGTTATTTTTTTACCCTGAGCCTTTATTACTCAATACTGCATAGTTGGAGTATACATAGCACTCACTGTCTTTGAAATCTCCAGAAGTCTAATGAACTGCACTTGGAGTTCATATATACATAAACACCATTTCCTCCATCCAAAAAGATATTACCCTTCTCAAGTGACATGTAAACATTTCTACCATTTGTGTTTTACAATTCTGAATACCACAGTACATCTTCCAGAATCCATTGCTAACAAAGAACCAGGGACATTCAGACTGAGAATGTTCTTGTTTTTAAGCAAGCAATTCTGAGGCTGTCTGGATGCCAAGTCAACATTTCCCCAGGAAAGAGAAAACAAGAGAAAAACCATCTGCTTGTTTCTAGTTTCTCCTGTGAAGTGGGCCTCCTGCCAAGTAGTCATTAGAGTAATTAAGGGGGAAAAACAATCTAATATATTCATTATGTAAATGAACAAAGAAGATTAAAAAGAAATGAGAGAGGAAGAAAATACAGATACCTCTGTTTCTTGCAGCATTCCATGGCCTAAGCACACCATGTCTGGACAAGAGATGGGAGAACCACACCCTTCACGGATGGCCAATTGCATATATTGTTTTAGACACTAAAGAAGAAGAAGAAATCTGTAAGTTACAAATCATATTTATGAATTAAACATAGCATAATGCACCTTCATTAGCTATTGGAGCTTTTGCAACTGAAAAAAGAAAACTGGCCTTTAAAAATCAAACTATTCATTATGGATAGAAATATCCTCCCATGTATTTGATTATTAAAGTCAAGTCTTGTGCCCCTACTTTTAATTCATTAATTCATTCATTTTGTTCAGAACTTTGGGAAGCATCTGGCTACATTTTCCTCTTTTTTAGAAAGAAGCTTGCTTTTCTTATTGCCCTTTTTTTTGTTTGGTTCATCCTTCTCACCTAACTAGACCAGATCCACACAGCTGCCTTGCCATGTTCCATTCCCATCCTGGAGCTGTGGGAGTCTGGATGGAGACAGACAGGTTCAGTCCTGGCAAGAGTGAGTGGCTGTGAATTTTGAGGCCACCCATTTCTGGAGAACTTCCATAGTTAGTTCTCAAGAGGTTTCGTTTCCCCAGACAGAACTGGTACACAATTTGAGAGTTCTCCTAAACCCCCAGCTTCTGCTACTCGGCAGCTGCAACTGGTCCAGAATGTGATGGCACAAGTAGTTATAGGTTCACCTTGATATATCCATATAACACAACTACTGTGCAAACTGCATTAGACAACAGTGGGCTTCCAGGTGCAATTCACCTTTGTCATCTATAAAATTCTACATGATGCAGGACCTGGATATTTGAGGGACCATCTGTCTCCAATCTGTGCCTATCTTACAAGATCTCACAGGATTGGCATATTCCAGGTTCAATCAATTAAACAGTGTCATCTGATGGGATTGAGAATGTGTGCCTTCTCTGCCACGGTACCACCCCACCACCACCACTAAGATTTAAACCCTGTCAGACATTAAGACCAGGATTTTTCCCTAGGTGCTGGGCTAGATGTACATATGAGCCCATTGGAAATGTAAATATATGATTGTTGTGTTCTGTTCCCAACACAGTATTGTATTGCTGTTGTTTGTATATTACAATCTTTTTAACCTTGTTAGGGGAACAGAAGCTTATACATTTTGTAAATAAATAAATGTCTTCCACCATATGAACAGCCTCCTCCAATGGGTATGAACAGTGCTCTGGTTACTCTGTACACTGTAATTGTTATTTATTTATTTTTCCTTTCTCATACTGTTGATTATGCTTTTTTTTAATTCTTGTTACTATGGGAGGATTGGTAGACTTTTTGACCAGTAGGAGGCACCAAAGAGTTAGACTTTATATCTATTGGGTGCCATCTAATGGTTATACAGATTTATGTAGTCAAGATATAGCTACTGGATGAGTACTGTATTGTTGAAGAACTGAAATATCAGAAAGCGATTCTGCTGTTGAGATTGAGTGGGAGCTGTAGACTACCCTAATAACATTACATGAGGAGAGGAAATGAGACCCAGGAGTAGCATCCACTGAGAAGGGAATTCCCCACCATCCAGGCTACAGAAGTACAAGAGCCAAATCATTTCAGTTATTCTTTCAACTACATGTATTAAGCCAGGGACGGGCTAGTCGTTTTAGGGCTTTGTATCCTCTAGGTTAACCACCCCATTAAAAAAAAAAGAAAAGAAGTTGCAGGAGTCAAGGTTCTATTTCCATCACAGCCAAACCAAGCAGATCACCACTCAAACCACCTCACCTCAACCCTCCTCCCCCATGCACCATGGATTGTCCAGATGAAAGGTCCTGAGCCAGGATAAGAGGGAAAATGCCACCCCCAGACAGAGCATCTAAAGCCATCTTTGGGCAGCCTCAACTGCAGATGGACAATAAGATAACAGGCAGTGGCATATAGATATGTCTTCTGGAAATGGCTAATGTGGTATTTTCGCCCTGGAGCAAGGAGGCTGGGTGGATGTGGCCTTATAGAATACTGTGCCTTGTTTTCTTGCAAGAAGAGTTTTCTCAGCAGTAAAAGCTCTGCTGCAGTATACCCTAAAGTCCTTATGTTGAGATTACAACATCTCTCCCAGTCCTCCAAAAAGAGAGCTTGTTATTACTTGGATGAAACTACATCAAGGGCTTCAAAGTTTTAGGATTTAGAATTTTCTTTAATTATCAATAGTTATTGACACTGGCATTTTATTTTCCATCTGGAAAATGTTAATTTTCACAGCAAATTCAAGGGCATCTTTTGCCACTTTGCTTCTGTACAATGTGAAACACTTATGAAACATAGTTATGAAACTGCTTACACCAAGTTTATTTGCACTCAATATATAGCTCATCCATCAGGCAATGTGTTCAGATCTCATGTTGCTAACTAATGGCTCAAGGAGGCACTTGTCCTCTCACTACAAATGCATCAAGATCACTTTTAGATAATCTTCCTCTGCATTCACATACAAAAGGACTAGTATCGGTACATCACATGGCTTGTTCAAGTGGCCATTTCAACATGTTACATTAACTGTTCCTGTTTCAACACTTTAAAAGGCTTCCAGCTGATTAACTTCAACTCTTACAACTTTCAGAAAGCAAATGGCAAAAGGAAAAATGCTACGGCAATATGGCAAATGTTAGTATAGAAGATATAGGAAGTTTACACAAAGCACAGGACAAGAGTATCAATATACATTATATACAAGGCATATTTAATTTGTTTGGACCAAGAGGCTGCATTAGCTCCCATGCAATCTTGTGAGGGCCATACAACTTCTCCACACTCCATTACAACACAATGCTTTTTCTTGCCAAGAATTGATGGAGATACAGAGAGATTTAAATCAACCTTTTCTTCCTCAGCAGTACAGTACTGTGGAGTCCTTGAGATTCATTGAGCTTGGTTGGTTTTTTACAAACACCTTTGTTATAAGATGGCACCTTTGTTATAATAAAAAAGGAACAACTAAAGACGACACATTAAACTATCAACAACATCTTCAAAAGAATAAAATTCACCAGAGAGGAAAACAACAACAACATACTATCCTTCCTGGATATCCTCATCAGCAGAGGAAACAACAACAAATTAGAAATTCAAGTCTATCGGAAGACAACCCACACTAATCAAGTACTCCATTCCCAAAGTAACAACCCAACCTCCCACAAGAATTGCTGTGTAAGGACATTATTCAAACAAACACAAACGCACCGTAGCAACCCAGAACAGCAGAAAAAGGAAACAGACCACCTATACAACATCTTCCAACAAAATGGATATCCACACAACTTT